ACAATCTCCTTCAATCTATTCTCCTTCTTACAATGAATTCACGTGAGAAAACTATACAAATTTTTTTTGATTGATGATTTTGATGATGATGACCTTCATTAACAGAGGGTTGCAATGGTCATTCAACACCATATGTTTTTGTTGGAGCAATATGCTTAACAATCCAAACATGGTGGTTCTATTGTAGGTCGTGAATACAAGAATGGGAATAGAGAAAAACATCATAAGAGTCTCATAGAGAACTACTTCTATGAAAGACTACTTTATCCCCAGTGGACTTTCCCAGGTGGTTCCGCATGAGAAGAGAGCTTTTCTATTGCATCTTGAATGATGTTGTTGCACATGAACCATACTTTACCTAGAAGATAGACGCTTGTGGATGACAAAGTCTATCCCCAGAGCAGAAGCTAACAACCTTTTTTTATGCTAGCATATGGATGCTTGGCAGACTCCACCGCCGAATACTGTAGATTGGGTGAATCTATAGCCCTTGAATGTTTGCGAAAGTTTTGTTCTGTTATTGAAGCCGTGTATGGCCAGTGATACCTCCGTTCCCCAAATCTGGCAGACCTTTACAGACTCTTGCACAAGGCTAGTCGTAGAAGATTCCCAAGCATGTTAGGCAGTCTTGACTGCATGCATTGAGAATGGAAGAACTGCCCTGCTGCTTGGGCAGACCAGTTTACCGGCTACAAGCATAAACCAATTGTCGTTCTAGAGGCAATGGTCTCGTATGACACTTGGATATGGCATGCCTTTTTTGGAGTCACCAGATCGAACAACGATATCAACGTCCTAACTCGTTCCCTGTTGTTCAATGATGAAGTCAATGGAGTGTCTCCCCATATCCAATATGTTGTCAGTGGAAATTAATACAATCTAGGTATTTTTTTAGTGGTTTCCCCAGAGATCTTTATCATTAATGCAAGTTTCATTTTGCTTTGGGCTACATTGGTTAAGACTATTTCCCAACCGGATACTCCAAAAAAAAAAAAAAAACTATTTGCCCAAAAACAAAAGGCTTATAAGAAAGATGTCAAAAGAGCCTTCAGAATACTTCAGGCTCAATGGGCAATTGTTAGGGGACCTGCACGTGTGTGGCGTAAAGAACAACTTCATTCAATCATGATGACGTGCAAATATTGCACAACATGATTGTTGAGGATGTTGATGTGTAACCCTTGAGCTGATATCTTAAAGCCAAAAGTTACAAATTTTTTAATTTCATTTTATAAGATTTAATTTCTTAATGTAATATGAGTCATTGGATCATAGTCCAAGTGGTCTCTTCTCTAGCCTAGGATCTAAGTATTAGATTATGACAAGTAGATTCATCTCATAGGATGATAGGATCAAAGGCTAGGATTTAATCTTGGTGTAAATCTGTTAGAGAAGCATCTCACTTCTCTCTCTCTCTTAACGGTTATATTTCAATAGTGGAGTGTGAAATGAATATCAGAACCTTCATTATTTTCATAGCACCATAGTTGCATTTTCTCTGCAACTTTCCTTCTTTCCAAACACTCAAAATCTTCATAAAACTAAATACCATAAGCTATGAATTCTAACATGGCCTCATAGCCAGGTTCGGTTGCCTAAACTGGGTGTGAATCTGTGAACAGAGAATTGGAATCGATTCTAGCTGTGATCCAGCTCATTCGACGATCGAGGTGGTGTGATTTCTTGAATCTAATGCCCAATATGGTAGGATCGGGCACCGCTGACCTTTGCACGCCAGTTTTCAATGGAGAAAATTATGAGTTCTGGAGTATTCAGATGAAAACCATTCTGAAATCTCATGGGTTGTGGGATCTTGTTGAAAATGGTAAGGAGAAGAAGAAGATAGAAGAGAGTGAGGTCGCTGAAGTGGAGAAGCCTACAATGGTTGAAATTCTGATGAAGGATGCTCGAGCACTTAGGTTGATCCAAAGTGTCGTCTCAGATCAAATCTTCCCCAGAATTGTGAACGAGGAGACCTCAAAGGGTGCTTGGGACATTCTGAAGCAAGAGTTCAAAGGAGATAAGCAAGTAAGGAGCGTAAAATTGCAAGGTTTGCATCTCAAATTTGAATACACTTGTATGAAAGATAGTGAGTCCTTATCTGTACACCTTGCTAGACTGTTCGATATAATGAATCAAATGAAGAGTTATGGTGAAGATCTGTCTAGGGAAAAAGTTGTGCAAAAATTGTTGATTAGTTTGCCTAGATCATATGACCCTATTTGCTCTGTGATCGAACACTCTAAGGACCTTGAAACTCTTGAGGTTCAAGAGGTAGTTGCTTCTCTGAAAGTTCGCTGGGCTGGGTGTGTCAATTTTTGGCCCAAACACTTTGAGCTCAGATTAGATAGACATGCTGAAGACTCTACAAAAAGGGCTTTTGCTAGTCTAAACGTTGGTGGTAAAAATCCTACAGGTGGAGGCAATTATGGAAATCAAAAATCTCAGAAAAACTAGAAGTCCAAAGGAAAAAAATGGGATAATAAGCCTAATTCTACTTCCAAACCAAATGTCTCTAATGATGGAAACAAAACAGCTTGTAAACACTATGATAAACTGCATTATGGCAAGTGTTGGTTTGAAGGGAAGCCTAAATGCATAGGTTGCGGGAAGTTTGGGCATGTGCTCAGAGACTACAATGGAAATAAAACTATAAAAAAGGTGAACTGTGCAAACCAGGTTGAAGAAACTGGTACTTTGTTCTATGCATGTAATGCTGTGACAAATGTGAAAGTGAACCATTCATGGTACATTGATAGTGGTTGTAGTAACCACATGACAGGTAATGAAAGGTTATTAATTAACATTCAAAGGAACCTGACTTCCAAGGTGAAGATGAGAACAAGAGAAATTGTTTAGGTTGCAGGAAAGGGAACTCTTGTGATAGAGACCAAATTGGGAAGGAAGCACATTCAAGAAGTGATGCTTGTTCCTGGACTTGAAGAGAATCTGCTTAGTGTTGGACAGATGGTGGAGCACGGGTATTATTTGGTGTTTGGAGGAAATGTAGTAAACATCTTCAATGGTTGGTCACTGGACAATCTTGTTGCTAGAGTTCAGATGACAAATAACAGGTGTTTTCCTCTTATAATGATGCTTGCAAATCAGTTGGCCTTGAAGGCAAGTGTGACATGCTATCTGCAAATATGGCACAAGAGATTGGGGCATCTAAATGACAGAAGCATCAAACTGCTTGAAGATTGAGAAATGGTTCATAGGTTGCCTCATTTGGAGAAAACTTCTGTTGTGTGCGAAGGTTGCATAATAGGAAAGCAACGCAGAGATTCTTTTCCATTATAATCTACTTGGAGAGCTAAATTTCCATTGGAATTGGTTCACATAGACATCTGTGGACCAATACAAACTGAATCTATCTCAGAAAATAGGTACTTTATGTTGTTCATAGACAATTGCACCAGAATAACATGGGTATACTTTATCAGGAACAAGTCAGATGCATTTGAATGTTTTAAGAAGTTCAAAGCTATGACTAAACGACAATGTGGATATAAGGTGAAAAGCTTAAGGAGTGATAGGTGTGGAGAATTTCTGTCAAACGAATTTAACAAGTATTGCAATGAACTTGGGATCCAAAGACAGTTAACTATGGCATATTCTCCTCAACAGAATGGGGTGGCTAAGAGGAATAATAGAATGGTGGTGGAAATGGCAAAGTCCATGTTGTATGAAAAGGGTCTTCCTTACAAGTTTTGGACAGAGGCTGTGAACACTACAGTATACATACTTAATAGATGTCCCTCCAAGTCTCTCAAAAAGGTAACTCCATTTGAAGCATACATTGGCAAAAAACCAGGTATTGCACATCGGAAGATTTTTAGATCACTATGCTATGTGCACGTCCCTACAACACTAAGACATAAGCTTGAAGAAAATAGTCACAAATGTATCTTTGCGGGTTATAGACTCTGTGAAAAAGGGTACAGGGTGTTTGATCCAAGTTCCAGAAAGATCATCTTGTCCAGAGATGTACTCTTTGATGAGAATGCTTCATGGAAGTGGGAGAACACTGATAAAAATGAAATGAGAGTCCCAATGTTTACTGAGAATCAAATGGCAAACTGTAGTGAAGGATAAAAGCAATTTGAAGTCTGTGAACCAAGTAAATCCTTGGATACATCAACTCAAGTGGATGAAGTTATTACACCACAGAGTGAGGATATGTTTGAAAGCTCTCAAGCAATTGATTACACACCACAGAAATGAAGAAGCATCAATGAGATCATGGCTCAGTGTAACATGTGCATTGTAGAACGTGAGAGCTATGAAGAAGCTGCTCTAGATGAGTCATGGAAAAATGCAATGAAATATGAGTTGGAAATGATTCAGAAAAACAACACTTGGGAGCTAGTTGATAGCCCATTTGACAAGCCAATCATTGGTGTTAAGTGGGTCTATGAAACCAAGCTGAATCTTGATGGATCTGTGCAGAAAAACAAGGTCAGACTGGGGGCAAAAGGCTATTCCCAAAAACCTGGAATATACTACAATGAAACATTTGCTCCAGTAGCAAGGTTGGACACTATTAGGACCTTGATAGCACTTGCTGCACAGAAGGAATGGAACTTATATCAATTGCATGTAAAGTCCATTTTTCTGAATGGATTTTTAAAGGAAGAAGTTTATGTTGAGCAGCCACAAGGATTTGTGAAGGAAAATGAAGAAACCAAGGTGTATAAGTTGAACAAGGCTTTGTATGGGCTGATGAGATAGATTCCTATTTCATCAAGGCAGGTTTCAAGAAGAGCTCTAGTGAAGCAACACTTTATGTCAAATCTAGTGAAGCTTCAAGTATCATTAGTGTTTCACTATATGTGGATGATATTGTACACACTGGAAGCTGTCCAAAACTACTTGAAGAGCTCAAGAATGATATGATGTAGCATTATGAGATGACTTATTTGGGGTTACTTCATCATTTCCTTGGCATGGGGGTAGTATAAACAGATAAAACCATTTTTATTCACCAGATGAAATATGCAATGAAGCTCATTGAGAAATTTGGAATGAAAGATTGCAAATCTGTGGTAACACCACTAGTTGTGAATGAGAAATTATGCAAGGTAGATGGCAGTGAAGCAGCACATGAAAGTGAATATAGACAAGTTGTAGGTAGCTTGCTATACTTGACTGCTACAAGGCCGGATATAATGTTTGCTTCTAGCTTACTTGCTAGATTCATGCATAATCCCACAAAGAAGCATATGGGAATAGCCAAGAGGGTGTTGAGATATATTCAGGGCACTCTTGATTTTGGAATTGAATTTGTGAAAGGAAAGACAACTACTCTAATAGGGTACTGTGACAATGACTGGGCAGGAAGTGAGGATGACATGAGAAGCACTTCAGGGTATGCATTTACACTAGGATCTGGTATGTTTTCGTGGGCATTGATCAAACAAAACACAGTGGCATTGTCCACTACAGAAGTGGAATATGTCAGTGCTGCAGAAGCAATATCACAGGCTAAATGGCTAAGGTTTGTGCTTGAAGATTTTGGAGAGGAGCAAGTGGAAGGCACACCAATTATGTGTGATAACACATCTGGCATAACAATAGCAAAGAATCCAGTTCTTCACTAGAAAACTAGGCACATCAGTCTAAAGTTTCATTTCATCAAAGAAGCCATTCAAGCAAAAGAGATCGAACTTATTTACTGTAAAATGGAAGATCAGATTGCATATATGTTAACCAAGGCCTTGCCAAAGGATCGATTTGCTTGCCTAAGAGGACTGCTTGGTGTGAAATCACCTAAAGAGTTAGAATGGAGTGTTGATGTGTAACCCTTGAGCTGATATCTTGAAAGGCCAAAAGTTACAAATTTTTGAATTTCATTTTATAAGATTTAATTTCCTAATGTAATCTGAGTCATGGGATCATAGTCCAAGTGGTATCTTCTCTAGCCTAGGATCTAAGTGTTAGATTATGACAAGTGGAATCATCTCATAGGATGATAGGATAAAAGGCTAGGATTTAATCTTGGTGTAAATCTATTAGAGAAGCATCTCAATTCACTCTCTCTCTCTCTCTCTCTCTCCTAAATAGTGGAGTGTGAAATGAATATCAGAACCTTCATTATTTTCGCAGCACCATAGTTGCATTTTCTCTACAACTTTCCTTCTTTCCAAACACTCAAAATCTTCATAAAACTAAATACCATAAGTTATGAATTCTAACAGAGGATGAGTATGAGGATCTAGATGCATAATCTAATGATGATGATAATAATTGTCCACGAACATCTAGAAGAGTAAGAGCAAGACTTGCTTATGAGCTTGAGCCAACTATCACATACGATATAAACCGAGACAGACAATCTATCTCAGACTACATGGTCCATCATAATAGAGTCTGTGCTTCGCAAGTGCATCACAATCTAAGAAATGATTTGATCAACCACATTTGGAGATGCAAATGAGAGGGCACAATGAGCTACGTTGTGTGTTTAATTATGTTGTATATTTAAATTATGTAAGTGTGTTTAAATTATGTAAGCGTGTTTAAATTATGTTGTGTGTTTAAATTATAAAAGTAGTTGTGTGATTTTAATGAATTACGTGGTTTATCATTGAATTTTAAAAAAAAGACTAATCATAGAAAAATAAACGACAATCATAAATAAAAATAAACGATAATTATAAATAAAGATAAACAACAATTACAAATAAAGATAAACAATAATTATAAATAAAGATAAACAACAATTACAAATAAAGATAAACGACAATTATAAATAAAGATAAACAAAAATTACATCAACAACTAGAAATAAAGATAAACGACAATTATAAATAAAGATAAACATAAATTAATAACCACTATGTGGAGGGCTTGGATAATAGTCTCCAGAGTTGTCTTCTGGATTGTTGGGGAAACTTGTATTCATCTGGGCCTCAATAATTTCGTCTTACTTATTCCACCAATACTTCTTCTTTCTTGGAGTAAATTTGGATAGTTCCATAGACATTATCCCCTGTTCATTGGCCTCCTTATCGTGCTGGATTTGATAGGCATGTTGCTCTTCACTACAAGAAATTACCCCTTTTGCGACGGGTTTTTTAGGACAGATGCGGCCCTCACAATTGCTTTAGCTTTAGCGCACGGAGTAATGGCGCGAAGGTATTTGCAACACCCTTATAAATAACGTCGGAGAAAAGGTTGCAAATACCCATATAACTGATCTATGTGTGACTTGCTTAAAATAGGTGTCGTGTATAATATTTTAGCGACAAGTTTGGATATTTGATACGACACGCACAAACTGTCCCAAAAGTTTTCAATTAGTGCGCCTAGATTTCAGATGAAAAACAAACCTACGTCTAGTCTCCCCTCTCACTCTCACCTTCTTCCTCCTAAATCCTAAATCAACTCTTCCCTAGGAGATCATGGAGGCCACCATCAATCCAATCTCATGTAATTCTCTCTCCTTCTTCCTCCTAAATCCTAAATCAACTCCTCCCTCAGAGATCATGGGGGCCATCATCAATCCAATCTCATGTAATTCTCTCTCTCTCTCTCTCTCTCTCTCTCTCTCTCTCTCTCTCTCTCTCTCTCATGCTAATTACTTGGTATGTTTGGAATTGATCTATACTTAATTGCTAATATTTATTTATTTTTTGTTGCAGATTGACTACTTTTCCTATAGAATTGTTTAAATATGTGGAGGTCAGATTGTTTTTCTTTTATTATGTGAACTTATGTGCTTTATCTAATAATAGGTACTGGGCATGCAAATTTTTAATTGAAAAACATATTGCATATTGTAGGATCGTTTGTTGATAACAAGATCGAATCAAGGACTGCTATTAGTTATTTGGTATGTTTCAATAAACATTTGGATCATTATAAGGGTATGCCTTCTTGTTTCTTTATTCTTGAATAGAAACTAGGTATGGACAAGAGTTGGATCGATTTAACTGAAAGATCATCAAATCAATATCTCAATGGGCTTGAAAATTTTTTGGATTTTGCATTTGACAATAGCATGGGTGATACAATGATTTATTGTCCTTGAAAAAAATGTTACAATTGTTACTTTGTTACAAGGGAGGTAGCAAGAGCACATATAATAGTTGATGGGTTTTGGTCAAAGTACAAAAATTGGACTCATGGTCAAAGACACCAATCATTATATGTTGACAAATATATGGGGAATAGTTCTGCTTCAGTTGTGGATGATGATATAATTGGAATGGTACATGAGACATTTGAGCATCCAAATTTGGATTCTAGTATGAGGAATGATGGCTCAATAGAAAATGAATATGGTGATGGGCCAAATAATGAGACTACAAACTATTTCAAATTGCTACAAGATGCAAAATGTCCTTTATATCCAGAGTGTAAAAATTTCACTAAATTATCATTTATTGTTCAACTACCACATACAAAAGTACTTTGTGGATGGACCGACAAGTCAATGACAATTTTGTTAACTCTTCTGAAAGAAGCTTTCCCCAATGAAGTACAACTACCATATTCATATAACGATGCTCGAAAGATAATGGCGGACATGGCTTTCACATACAATACATGGGATGCATGTCCCAATAATTGTATGTTATTTAGAAATGAGGATGAGAAACTTGAATCATGTGTTATTTGTCACTAATCCATATATAAAAAAGTTGATGGGCAGCCTACAAATGTTGTGAATGGGAATAGAAAAGTACCTGAAAAACAAGTAAGATACTTTCCATTGAAGCCAAGATTGCAAAAAAAAATTATGTCATCAAAAACTGCTTCGCATATGAGATGGCATGCAGAATAGCATACTGATGATGGTGTGCTAAGGCACCCTGTTAACTCATCTGCATGGAAAGAATTTGATACAAAGAATCCATATTTTTCTAGTGAAGTTCGTAATGTTAGGCTTGGTTTATCATCAGATGGTTTCAGTCCATTTAGAACAATGGGCATACCTCATAGTACATGGCCTGTTATTCTCATGCCTTATAATTTCCCACCATGGATGAGCATGAAGCAAACTTTCTATATTTTGTATGTACTTATAGATGGCCCGAATGCACTTGGTAATAAGACTGATGTGTATATGCAACCAATGATTGATGAGTTAAAGGAATTATGACATGAAGGTGTAGATACTTATAATGCTTCCAAGAATAAGATGTTTAAATTACATGCTGCATTACTTAGGACAATCAGTTACTTTCCAGCATATGCGAATTTGTCGGGTTGGAGCACCAAAGGTGCGAAAGCATGTCCTTGTTGCAATAAGGACACTAGATCTGTTTGGTTGACTAATGGAAGAAAGTATTGTTATATGGGTCGTCATCGACCATTTTTACCTACGAGTCATAGGTTTCGAAAAGATAGAGTGCCTTTTAATGGCACATGAGAATGGGGACATGCACCATTGAAACTTTGTAGGTCTGATGTTAAAAGACAGTTGCAAGGAGTACTGACTGAGTACAAGAAAGAAAACATCAGCAAAAAGGAAATGACATGAAGTTGAGAAGAATAATGATGGTTCCTACTGGAAGAAAAGAAGTATTTTTTTTCTAGGTATTACATTGGGAGCATAATCTGATTCATCATAATCTCGATATCATGTACATTGAGAAGAATTGTTCTGAAAATATCCTATGGACAGTGTTAGGTGTTGCTAAAAAAACCAAGGATGACTTACAGGCTAGACATGATTTACAAGAATGGGGAATAAGGCAACCATTACACCCATAAGGACGTGGTTCTAATAAGGCATACTTACCTCCTACATGTTTTACTATGAATAGGGAAAATAAATATGTGTTCTTAAAAGTATTGAAGGAAGTAAAAGTACCAGATGACTATTCTTCCAATATTTCTCGACGTGTACAGCTAAAGGAAAGTACTATTTTCGGTCTTAAGAGCCACGATCATCATATACTAATGTAGCAATTACTCCCTATAGCAGCACGTAGAGCTTTGCCAAAGCATGTTGTTGAAGCATTAATCAAGTTCACCAATTTCTTTAGACAACTTTGCTCAAAAGTGAACTTACCATCTGATTTGGAAAAAATTCAAGATCGAATTGTGCATACACTTTGCCGTATGGAGAAGATCTTTCCAATGTCCTTCTTCGATGTAATGGAGCATTTGCCTGTCCATCTGGCTGAGGAAGCATTGATTGCTGGAGCCGTCCAATTTCGATGGATGTATCTTATTAAGAGATATGTAAACATGCAGCTGTACTTTTTAATTATTTTAATTAGATTTGAAATTAATTATTTTTCTTAAGCGGAATCATGTAATTGGTTTTTACAGATAATTGGTTTTTTATTTTTTGTTTGAACATGTAATTGGTTATACATGTCAATTCTTTTAAGCGGAATCATTATGTTTTTTTTTTCTTATTGCAATAGATTATGGCTCTCAAAAGAGTAAGAGAACAATCAATGGAGGAATTGATTCCACATCTCCTGTGAGAGCTAAAAAGAGTAGATCACAAGCACGATCATCTCAGCTACACGGATCAATTTCGAGTCAGCCTCAACTTGTTGTATCTAGGCGGCCTCAACCTACCATCTGTGTTGGTTCACAAGCACGATCATCTGTGTCGGTTCAATATCAACAACAAGCATCAATTGTGAGACCGACACAGTCTCAATTAGAGACACAACAATGTCACCCCAATTTGTCTACTCCTAGTCATGAGGACAATCCTTTGATAACGCCATCAAATGAAATAGGTTATTATGGCCAAACAACCATTGTTTTTTGCTTTATTTGGTGATTTATTTCATCATTAAAATCATATTGAATGTTTTACTCTAGGTGAAATTGAGCCTACCATCAATAGTCGGGGTGCTGCTTGTTCTATTGCTGAGTAGGGGACTATAACAAAATTGCACATTGATTTTGATACTAAATGGAAATGGAAGCCAATAAAAGAAAATGCACAAAAGCTTAGTACACAAATGGGAGTTATAGCATGAAATGCCCGAAAGGTCTCTCTGACAAAAGTTTCATGGAGCGGTATGCCTGATCATACATTAGATGACATTTGGAAAGATGTGCAGGTAAACAACAAAACACTAATTTCAAACATGCTAGTATTATTTTTTTGGTGAAATGCTAGTATTTTTAATTTTTTTTTACTGGTTACTATCTATTAATTGTAGGATAACACAGATGTCCCTTACGCATATAGATCCCATTGCTTAAAGGTAGTTGGTAATAGATGGGGAGATTGGAAATGTCGACTTACCAAATATGAGACCAATGAAGAGCGTTTAGCCATCACTCCGGCTCAAGTTCCTACAGACCAATGGAAGATACTTGTAAAGTATTGGGGTCTACCTGATGTTAAGGTACATAGACATAAGATACAATTACTGAGTTTATAGTAGTAATGAATGTTGACTGAATTAATCATATTGTAGGGATGTTCTAAAGCAAATAAGGCTAATTGTGCACTAAGAAGTGCCCCTCATAGGATCGGTCGTACTTCTTTTGCTAAAGTGAAAAATAAGTTAAGAGTGCTAATCTTATTTTTATTTTTTTTAAGCATGCAGTGGTTCTCGTATACTATTCTGACATTAAGGAGAATAGTATACGAGAAGAGCTAGAGAGACAATACCAATCTCAAATAGATGATCTTAGTCTCATTATGAATCTAAACTTGGAGATCTCATCCAAGTATGAGGATCTGAGTTCGCAAATCCATCTCATGAAAGCTCATGTTGGTTTCCAAGTTAACCCAACTGAAAGCGGAAGTGGACATGTATAATATGTTTTAGTGTAACTTTGATATCTTTTTACTTTATTATAAAGAATAAATTACAGTGAAGAGTTAATTAATATTGATTTCCATCTAACTTTTTATGTGTGTGTATATATATAAATAGGTGAGTTATAGATTCCAGATGCATCAAGCCTGCACCAACGAAGACTTAGTGTGAGTAGGAACAGCAACATCAATTTGACCCAGAAGCATAAGAGCATGAAGTAATTGTTTTCATTAAAGGTATATGTTCACAAATAATTTATTAATGGTTTTTAAATTTCTTTTTTCAGGTTTTGTACAATCATAATTCTCTTAGTATAATCTTGTGAACTTTGTTTGGGCATTTGAAACCAAAAATATGTTTATTCATTTTAGAGACAATGTTGTTCGCCCTTTGACTTTAAATTATTCTTTCCGTGATTGTTACTTATGATTAGTTAATATATCAAATATAACAGTGATACATGAATGGTTTTTTTTTAATTATATTAATGTTAGTAATACTAAAAATACTTGAATATATCATAATACACTATGTTATTTTAGTTTTGGTGAGTGTATTACTCTTATTGTGAATATTAAAAACAAATGATGTAAATCTTGTTTTTGTTGAATATGTATTTGTATTTACAACATTCAATAGCCATCGTTATTACTATTACAACGGGTTCAGAGTGTCGTAAAAATTATTTCTAAATCCAACGAAGAAACGGTTGCAACGCTGTGCTTGCCATTGTAATTGGTTTTCACGACGGGTAAAACCGTCGTAATAAGCATCAGAACCTTTTGTGACACCAGTTGGTTGTGTCGCATGAACAAGCATCACAAGACCATCGTAAAAAGGCATTTGCAATGTATGCTTGACCTTTCACGACGGGTTTCTAGCCTCGCATCTAGCCTTATCCTCTATTTATTGGCATCCTTATCTTGTTGGATTTGATAGGCATGCTGCTCTTGTAGGAGCTCTAACTTTCACTCCTATATTCCTTTGCCTCATTTCCTTTAGACCTGGGCACGGTTCGGGTCGGGTCAAATTTTGGCCGACCCGCAGGGCCAAAACGAAGGAGAGACCGGGTGTCGGGTCGGGTCTAGAGTGAAAACCGAAAATGGGCCGAACCGAAAATGGGCTCGGATCTCGAGTCGGTTCTAGAGTTCTGATCGGTTTGGGCTTGAGCCCATTTTTACCATTTTCAAAAGCCCAAATCTTATTTATTTTTGGGAAAAAAAAGCCCAAATTACATTTTTTTTAGCAAAACAAAGCCCAAATCAGATTTACTTTCAACCAAAACCCTTTTTTTGTTGTCAAATTGCCAAGCCCAATTTGTTTTTCCTTACCCAAATCATGTAAATTCAACTAAACTATATCCTGCTTTTTTAAAGTTTCTAAACTAAATCACAATCACAAGCATCATCCAACCATCAAATTAGTTGTTTCTTACCTCCCATGACAAAAAATACAAGCAAAGCAACAAATTATATTACAACCCATGAAAAAAAATACAAGTAAAACACCTAATTAGATTTTAAATACCAAACAGATTCACTTGTACGATTGTATCAGTTAAGGGAGCTGCAGAAAAAGAAAAAAAATTTGTATCAGTTAAAATTTACTCAAATCACTGCGGAACACAAAGAACTTAATATTAACAACTCATAGTATCATTCCAGAAATCTCATGCTATGAATTACAGCAATTGAAACCATTTACAGACGGCTGTGATGCATGTCAGCCATTTACAGAACCTAAGGCTGTTATTGGTTGCCAAAACTAATGTAAATGTTCGATTCATTAGAATGAACCTTGACGAAACAAACCTAAGGCTCATTCCATTATCTGGTTGCCAAAAAAGAAAAATAAAAGATCAGGCAAATGCCCATTTCTCCAAAAGCACCTAACTTTTGACTAACAACATAAGAATCCATCAACAATGGTAATCCAGCATCAAACCATTAATTATAACCAAGCCACAAGACACACACATTGCATGTTAAAATAAACAGTCATCAAGCCTAAAGGAATAAAAACTTAAAATGGATTCGAGATGTGTAAACTGGTTTTTCAAGAACAAGAAAATGGTTTTTGATTCTATTAAGTCCCCAATAGAACTTATAGTCAAATAAGCATATATAAAGAGATTATGTCTAGCAGCATAGGAAACAAATGGAACCAGAAAACTTAAGCACCGATCACTTGAGACAATACATACAGGAAACCCTAACAAAAACTAGAGCAGAGCTCGCAAAACTGATAAAATGAAAAAACCCAAATCTACAAACATAGTGCTTGATCCAATTAAATTCAAATTACCTACTTCAGATTGCAATCTCAATTGCAATCCCAATCCTCACCAACTGACCTAGCATTTTGTTCTAGGGTTTCATCAACAACCAAACACTCCAAATCCCAACACCAACCCTCAAATCCAACTCGCACCCAAACAGATCGAACCCACAATTCGTTCAGCAAATGTTCATGCATTCATCTAATCAGTCAAGCCAAAAGATTCAGTCTTTCTCCAATCCCATTATTCATGCTACTGATCTTCCGCATCGCAACAAACAATATTTACAATTAAAATTAAATTTTAAAATATAGCAGATAGAAATTTTACCTCTTTTAGAGCTTCGTGAGTATATTTAAGAGAGGAAGATAATTTAACCAAAAATAAAATAAATAACAGAGAGGAAGCCTCTATAGGGTAAGGGTTTGAGAGAGAGCAACAAGTGAGCAAGAGAGAGAGAAGGAGAGACAGATAAAGTATTCTCAGCACCGTATTCTCAGGATGAAAATGTGGCGTGAAGTTTTCTTACCTCTACATGTGGGAGTGGGAACAATCAACAATGGCTTGCTTCGATGGAAATGTTGGCTGCTTGAACCGGTTGGGGCTGGGATTGACAGTGAACCGAGTGGGGCTTTGTTTGGCTATCTATGGAAACAGAGTGGGGTTGTGGCGGCTGTCTCAAGAGTGCAATGTGCTGTGCATGCCTGAAACAGAGAGGGGTGATGTGGGTTAGGTTTAGGTCGACTCGATCGATCGATCGATCGATCGAGAGAGAGAGAGAGAGAGAGAGAGAGAAGGGATGATGCCTGGCAGACGAGAGATCGTGAGAGCGATGAAGGAGCGACACAGATGCTGTCGCCGAAATTTCTAAGGTCGATTGAAGATCTGAGGTGAGATCGGGAGTGAGAGGCGCTGCCACAGCCCTTAGGTCAAAAAGAGAAGAAAAATGAAATGAAAACAGAAGAGAAGAGGAAGAGACTGAGTTAAAGAGAGTCGCGTGCGAGAGATGAGGTGAGGGTTACGGAAAAAAGAAAATTTCTGAGGGATACGCTGCAAGCAGATGCACAAGAAACTCTTTTTTGGCCAATCAAATAACGCCACATGTAACATATATATATATAAATATTGAGCGGTTCGGTTCAGGTTCATCGGTTCTGAAAAAATTAGACCCGAGAGCCGAACCGTTGACCTTCGGTTCGGTTCAGGTCCATGGTTGACTTTTTCGGTTTGGTCAAAAAACACTTTTTTTCGGTTCGATTTGGGTTGGTTCGGTCGGTTTGATCGGTTTATCGGTTTTTTTGCCCACCCCTAATTTCCTTGTTGAACCAATTCAGACAAGAACTTTCCACTTTGGTTGAGATAACCTTCAACACCTTTCCCTTTTATTTTTTCATCCTTCTGTTTATCTCTTCCCAACAACCTTTGAGTGGGCATGACCACATCATCTTCATCTTCCTCCAAATTGACTGTATTGCCATTATGGGAAGAATCTTTGAATGTTTGTGTGGGAGATTCGCATAGGTCATTCCATTTTGGGCAATTTTTTAAGATTTGCCAAGCATGATACAACTTGAAAGGCCTATTCGGAGGTTTATCATCATTCAAGAAAAGTCTTTTTGCATTCATATCCTACCCACGAAATAAAATAAAAATCAAGTTAATAATTGAAAAGAATTATAATTATAAATTTAAGCATTAAAAAAATAGGTACTCACCACATATTCAAGATTGAAGCCAATCACATGTCTTGCATTGGCATTTGTCATACATGCCTTCCATAGAGAACATTGTTGGTTGATTCTTGAACCGAGAAGCGATAGCTTGCAGTGATTGTTGAAATAAAAAAAATTCATTGACAGCAAATTAAATTTTGGCCCGAGTTTAAAGAAGTTGGGCTCATAGCTAAAATGGTTTTGTGGGCTTGTTGCTAAATTGGTTTAGGCCCAAATGAATTAATATTAATATTTTTACAAAGAAAATATTAACGTACTGAAAGCAGTAACAGAACATGTACGTTGAGGGGGTGACTGTAATGGGAAGTTACTCCCACTCACATAGTATGTGAGGCCATAACTGGCTCCACTCTGTCAGTTCCTCTGGGTCTATAAAAAGGGACCAAAAGAGGGCAGAAAAAAGAGAGGAGGTGCTGCAGGAAGAAGGGCAGAAACAGAGGCAGGAGAGAAAACGCAGAGAGGAACCAAAGGGCTGCACATAAGGGGCGAGAAGTCTGAAGGAGGCAAAAATAAAAGCTGCTGCAGGAAAGAAAAGTCTAGAGAGAAAACAAAGAGGCTGCTGGGATTCTGATTAAGGAGGAAGAGAAAGAAAAGGGCAGAAGAAAGGCAAGGTATAAAGTTTATTTCTTCTGCCAGAAAATTTCATCATGTTTCTCTGTGCAGTATATTCCCTTGCTGCTCAAAACTCAAACATCTTATGTGAAGTTTAATTAAACAAGCCTCTGCAAATGACGTTTCCTGAGCATCACACTGAAGTCGACCTTTAAATAACAGTCATGGGGCACCAAATTGATGACAGATTTCCTATCAAAAGTTCAAAGTCCCCTTCCGCTGCTGTCTTCCATAAAGGCTTTGAGAATGTGCATTGCGAAATTCCTCCATGTCTTTGCTGTCAAAGAAGTCTCATGAGACTACTGCAGCCAAAAGAAATTCATCATTCTCAAAAAATAATTGAAGAATCATGTCCCTGCTTTTAGAGAAATCTCAAGAAATCACACAAGAGGGAGCTCTTGCAAGGACCTCCTTATTGTGAAAAATATACAGATGGGCTTCCGTAAGAACCCCACTGTATTGAGTGCTATGAGCACCTTGCAGGTGTTCATAGGCATATTTGATGAAAATCTTGCAGGTGTTCATAGGCATATTTGATGAAAATCTTGCAGGTGTTTATAGACATACTCATGAAAATAATGCAGGTGCTTTTGAGTAACAAACAGAAAGACAAAGATATTCAAGGGGTTTCTGTACAAAAGAAAACTGTCTTCTTGTCAGACCAAAACTTCTCCAAGTCAAGCACAAGAGAATTAATTTGCACCCCTCAATTTCCCTGGAGCCTTGGAGTCTTTAACAAATAAAGAAGAAAAGAATGCACCAAAGCATCAGCAAACAAAAAGAAAAGGATGAAGGTCATAGCCAACAAGAAAGGCTCTGCTGCTCTGTCAAGACGAATAATAAAAAAATAAGCAAATGAGCCATGTAAAGGCTCGTCTGAATACACTGCATCACTTTGAGGCCATATAGCCTTGAAAATTCTCTTCTCTCTATGAAACCCAACTCGTGCACTTCACTATGCTAGCTTGGAGGCTACAGCCAATTGGGTGGTGGAACATGAAAATAATCCAAACATAATGCCATCAGTACTAGTCAACACCAAAGTTGAGGCTCCAAAACCTTCTCTCACATCAGAGCAATTAAAAGCCAAACAACAAGAGCTTAGGGAGAAAGCTCGCAAGAAGAAAGAAGAAAAGCACAAAAAAACAAAAAAAGTAGCAAAACAAGCTCTGTATAAACAGACGTGACCTCTTTAAATTCCATGACTTTCAATTCATGTTTAGTGGACTACATGGTCTGCTTTGACAGACATGAGCAAAGGAAAGGTCTTGCCTTGGTCTTTGCATCTCAGACCCAAGGCTCCGTATTGATTGTGACAGATGAGTAGTTGAAGAGATATATATAATCTGGTCCAGTTTGAATTGATTTGAACTACTCCAGATCCAGATGGGAATGACTCAGTTTGGATTAATCTCTACTACTCCAAATGGATATCGGTTTCAAATTCAATTGGCTCTCAAAGCTTTTCTGACATGGACTCTTTGTTTATGGGCCAACTAATAGAAATGTTAAGGCCCGAAAACAAATTGATGGGTTGATAAAATTAATTACCCATTAACTCTCAAAAGCCCAAAATATTTTATGGGTGGTCCAAATAAATTATGTAGTTAATGGATTAATCCTTAAAACCATATGTGAGTAAATTAATTGGCTCATCAAAATGCCTTTTTAATTTTCTTTGGACATTAACAATAAAAATGGTATAAAACCATTCCAAATTTTCTCATGAGTCATCTACCCTGCAAATTTTCAATGAGATCAAATTCAAATATCTCAAACATACAAATTCTTTCAAGGGGTCATTCATTCCTTGAAAGTCCAATCAAATTTTTTCTGAACTACGTCCGATTTGATTCCGCCAAGGATACGTAGGCAATTTGGAAATTCAATCCAAATACAACCGCAAGTCCAAACAAAATCTCTGGTTTACCTTAGCCAAATTCGCCCCAAACACTTTTCCAATCATAAAATCAAATTGAATCCCTAGTCCAACCACATTCATCCAAATTTCATAAAATATTTCTCATACCACAAATTCTTTCAAAGGAGTCATTCATTCCTTGAAAGTCCAATAAAATTGTGTGAGAACTACAAAAGGCTTGATCCCTAAAATGGAGTATGTAGGCAGTCTATGGTTCCCTGGATGCAGCCGCAACATCAAATCAAATTCCATTATTTATTTCATTCTTCATATTGGAATCAAAGGGTCTTTCTCTTTCCAAAGAGATTATAATTAAGAGATATTTTTATCTTGAATGGGTCGTACTCAATTAAAAATAAAATAAAAACTCTTATTTGTAAATAAGAGTGAGATTATGTTGAGTGAATTTTTAATTTCCTTATTACATTTTTTATCTAAGAGTGATCGTACCCTGGCTCTGCTCATGCCCGGATTATTTCCCAAAAACTTTTGGTACACACGCAACCAAAATGAGTCGTTTGATTGATTGGTGCCAATAGCTCCCATCTTCAGAGATGGAAACCTACTCTTTGCACAATGCCTCATCTTCTTATGGTTATTCACAACTTTTTGGGATTTTGAGGCCATTCTCAATAAGAATGAAAGTAGAATGAAAAAATATAACAAAGGGAGAAAAGAAAAAAATAATTTTTTGTGGATTATTTACCGAATGAATGGCTATTTATAGAGTTTGGAATAAGTTTTGGGGTTGGATCTTATTTAGATTAATTATAAATATTATTTTGACTGTTGGATTTAAATTTGAGTCGTTGAATGTGAAATTTTACAGTTCATATTGCCTAAAATTAATCATGATCGCTGATGTAAAATAAAGCCATTGGAATTTTTTTTTAAAAGCACACCTTTTGAATTTTTAGACGTTGGAATCACCTTTGCTGGAGTTGCCAGCTGTGTCACACAACTCTGCTGGCCAGACAGCAAAGCTGTCACGCAGGGCCCAACAACTTTTCTTCTCCACATGGGTTTCCACGTAAAAAATAAATAAATAAATAAAGCAAAATTTGGGCACCACATAAAATACCAGTCCATGCAAAACTTGGACTGGAATTCCACCCCAAATTTGACATTTCTCACATTTCCACCCTCCAAAATACATGGGTTGGAGAAGAATTTTGGACTCATAACTGAAAATTTGAGTTTCCACCCCAATGGTTGGAGATGGCCTAAAATGGCTAAACATAGTTTTAGTTGATGCACTTTCATGAAAGATCACATTTGATCATTTTTAGTTTATACTAAGCTACTAGGCAAAAAAAAAAAAACATTACCGAAACCCTAGCCATTCTCTCCTTTGTGAATTCCAAAGAAAAACTCCATAGAGTCGGAGGAAGAAGCGCGTCATTGCCCCTCCTCCTCTATTCCCCTCCTCTCTCATCGCCTTTTTCTTTTGAGTTAGTGAATAAGTCTACTGGGGCATTTTGAATAAGAAAGCTTTTATGGTGGTTTCTTCTGAGCCATTCTTAGATAGAAGTAGACATCACCCCTTTTAGGCTTTCTCAAATAAATCCTTTTCCCAAAACTCGGTCTCTAACACTGCTCATTTTCTCTAAATTTGGGTGTACATTGTCTTCGACGAAAGTTGCTTCAAATCACCCAATTATTCTTTGTAATATATTGAGAATACAAATTTGTTTTCTCATTTTCATTATTT